AGATGTGTTCAGATCTGAAACTTGGACCTGTCTACTGAGATGTCCCAGTATCTTGGATCAATTCCTGAATTTTCTAAGCTGCACTTTCATCTGTAAAATGTAGCTACCTCCCTCCTAGAATCATTCCAAGAAGATCAAAGAGTTAAGTACTTTGCTCATAAACATTCAGCTGATAAATAAACCAGGATTTAACCCCAGCTCTGTCCCCAGCATCCTGCCATGTATCTTCTTACTCCTAGGCACTTCAGATGTCCATTATCTAACACTGTGTACAGAGAACCATACACTGTTATATTTGTTACATTTCAACTGACTTACAGAGATACTTAACTTTGTAACTTCGGTTCATCCTAGAGTTGCATTCTTCTGTTTGGCAGTGGCCCACTGGCCTCAACGTCAACATTTAACTTACGATGCTCATTATCTTTTCTTTAGCTCCTGCAAGTCCTAGCTTCAACTGTCTCTACGCACATGACCCTGGAAACACTGTGGACTCTCCAGTCAGTCGTCTTACTTCCTAAGGCAGGGAACTTGGTAAGATCAAGAAGGAAGACACAAAGCATGCATAGTTCCTGCACCTCTGAGTTGGCGGTACCTGGTATGGTGTCTACTACATGGCAGGTGTTTTGCTGTACTTATCCAAGCAGCTCCTTTATTACTGCATCCATTCATTCATTAGCAATTTCAATTAACTGTACAACAGGAGGGATGGATTTAGCCCTACCTCATTATGATTTGACCCAACAGCTAGCAGTGAAAAGCAAAATTCTTGATCTGTTTAAAAAAACAAAAAGACCAAAAACAAACAAACAAACAAAAAACAAAACAAGAACTAGTGGGTGTGGTGGGGCCCGTCTTTAATCCCAGCACCCCGGGGGCAGAGGCAGGTGAGTTTGAGGCCATCCTGGTCTACAAAGTGAGTTCTAGGCCAGCTGGGGCTACTGGGAGATACTGTCTCAAAAAGGGGGCAAAAAAATTACAAGAACTAATCCATAGCATTGCTAATTTTCAACTATCTGAAAAACGTGTCAATTATAAAATAAATTAGAAATGAACACTATAGTAAGTTACCAGCTCAAAATCTTAGCATTTCTGTCAAAATGTTAATGGGGTGGGATTATTTGGACTGACCTCTACCCCAAACCTCAAAAAAAAAAAAAAAACCAAACCAAAGAGAACCTCGTGCTAAAGTTCCACACCACGAAGGCAGAGCTTAGTCATGACCTAAAAAGTCAGGAGAGGGGGGGATGGGCATTCCAACAGCAAGCATAAGCGGTCCCTCTAGTTTAAGCTTTACAAAGAAAGTGACTTTGAGGGGCTGGAGAGATGGCTGCATGGTTAAGAACACTGGCTGCTCTTGCAGAAGACCTGAGTTCAAATCCCAGCACTCACATGACAGCTAATAACCACCCATAACTTCAGTTCCAGGGGATCTGACACCCTCTTCTGGCCTCCGAGGGTACTGCACTACACAGGTGCACTTAATTACATGCAGGCATTAAAGCTCATACACATAAAAATAAAGTTTTTTAAAAAAGCAACTTTGAAACAACCAGTCCTCCTTATTTTCTGTTTCTTGGGTATTTTTCCACCTACTAATACTGCCTATGTTACACAGCACAGCATAGTGAACTTCCTCTCGTTCTGAGGCTTGCCTAATTTGTAAGTAGTTCTTTGCTCAAATAAAATACCAAATTTATTTTGTCTACAGTTTATGTTCTCAAACTAAGATTTGAGCATCCTTTCCCATAATTAACTGTTTTGCTCCAATGAAGTCTCCATGTCATGTTACTGGGTTAGAACTAGAACCTGCACAGGGGTTGAATTTAAGAGATAGCTTTCAATTCTGGTAAAGTGACCACTAACCAGTGATTACCGTGGGCCTGAAACAATACTGAATAGTTTACATAGATTACCTCATTTAATCCTCATGAATGATTCCCTTGCCAATTGTGAAAGTATTCACATTTAGGACTCTCTCGCCTTATCTGTAAACATAGCAGTCACTTGCTAAAAATCTCAATGAAGATGTCGAGCTGGATCCAGATTTTCTGGGATCAACATGTTCTTCACGATTATCCTTACACAATAGCCCCTACATGCTAAAGATGCTCAGTGGAGGAAACAATTCATGGGAAACTCACTGGCTGAAGATGTCCTATGTATTTCCCACCCTGGCATCATGTGGGGCCTTCATGTCTTTCCAACTGAGCCCAGACACTATTTAACAAAGCTGTCTCCACTGTGTTCCATTCAAATTCCTGTTCCACAGAATTTCTGAACATAATAAAAAACTACTGCTTTATGCCACTAGTTTTTGAAGTCAATTTTTATGCAGAAATGGCATCAGGAACAGTATGACCCATTAGCACCTATAATAGTCACTCAGTAACTAAACAGAGGAAAAGGCCAAACATTAAGTGCATCATTACAAAATTACATCTCAAATACTGCACCAATGGAAACAATGACAGGTGATGCTCAAAGTACATGTACTGGTAAGGATTTGGTTAAGGGCTGGACAGATGGGTCAGTGGTTAGGAATACTTGCTGCTCTTACAAAGTACCAGAGTCTATTTCCCAGCACCCATGTTGGATGGCTCACAACCACCTGTAACTCAGCTCCAGGGGATCTAAAACCTTCTTATGGGCTCTGGAGGAACCTGTACACATGGCATACACATGCACAGACACATGTACATATACATTTTTAAAATATAAAAATACTGAAAGAACTCAGTTAAGTTATAAGAAAAGCTAAAATAGTAGCACTTAAGTCTGCTTCTCTCTCACTTCAGAGGGAGCTAAGGGCTGTAATACCTTTTACTGAAAGAACTCAGTTAAGTTATAAGAAAAGCTAAAATAGTAGCACTTAAAAGTCTGCTTCTCTCTCACTTCAGAGGGAGCTAAGGGCTGTAATACCTTCCAGAAGGGAGTCAGATGAGCTCTACCTCATTTTCTGCCATTCGCAAACAAAGCCTCTTCCCCACTGTAAAGAAGGTTGCTCCAGCTTGTGCTACTGTCTCCATTTGAGCTGTTGTAGACGCAATTCTCTGAGTGTAAAAGCTGTCATCTTTATCAGGCCAACCATGACTATTCGAAAGAGACCCCCAAGATAGGGCTTCCTGACTGCTTGCAGTCCCTCATAGGAGGGGGATGTGAGGAGGGTCACCAGACCTTCATCCTAACTGCATATAGCTTCATGGCCTCATGGTGTCAGGAGGTGCTGCAGTTTAGGGATAATCTACCTATGCAGCTATCAGGAAGCTGTCATCTATGCTGAGGTGAGACTGCAGTGGTATGGCTGTCTTGGGGTCATCTACACTCCTGTAAGTAATGTCTTACCCATGCCTTGTAAATAAGATCAATATACTCACTGGCTCACCAAGTTGGACTTTGGGGGAGTCATCTTTGGTTTGTCTTTAGGGCCTTACAAGGAAGGGTAGACATTTGTTTAAGTTTCCCCAGGAAAGGCATTCTCAAAACATTAGCCAGTAGAACGGAAAAGGTGGGGAGGAATGGGGATTTCCCTCTCCTTTTTCCTAGAAGTGTGTTCATTGGCCAGACTTTATCACATGGCCACACTGAGATGCCCTGCTGGAATCCAGGAAAAGCTGTCTTTATTTACTTCCAGTTGTCATGTTCTGGCCAGTAAGGAGGGAAACCAAGGAAGGGATAAGTAGTATATCCTGCCATATGCATGGTCTAAAGTTAAGTTCATATTCGGAGTTTTAAGTTCAAAAACCAAGCCCAAAATATACCAAGGTATCCCTGTTAAGATTCCCAATCCTCAAGATTTTTCTGATTAAAAATAACATATTTTTAGTGAATACCAACTTTTCTGTCCAGATATAATAACAGATGAATATAAGTAAATGGCAAACAAGCACTTAACAAATTAACAAGTCCAAAGAAAGGGGAAAAGCATTTAGAGCAATGTTTCCTCAAAAACAGTAATGTCCTGTTTTATAGTCTACAGATTCCAGACTTCCTTCAGCAAGTCATTCAATAGCCAAGAGTCACTTTCATCAAAGGTACCGTAACACATGCCATGATAAATGAGATTACACACATCTAATGCTTTATAAACAGCAGTTTTATAGAAAGTAATGCACCTTCCAAACACCTAATAAGGACTCTTAATAAGGACGCTTGTTTGC